ATACTCCAAATATTGCTAGATGTGGATAAAGCAATACTAGAGGATCATTCACTCAATTTCCAAAGCCACAGTATTTTAATTCTAATGATTAATTTAAATTATCCCTGACATCTCACTTACCTGATCCTGAGTATCCAGAACCTGAATTTCCAGATCCGGAGAAGCCACCTCCAAAGATGCCAGATCCCGAGTAACCAGATCCAGAGTAACCAGAGCCAGAGAAGCCACCTCCAAAGAGTCCAGATCCTGAGAAACCGGATCCAGAGTAGCCGCCTCCAAAGAGTCCAGATCCTGAGAATCCAGATCCATTGTTGCTGTCTCCGAAGATTCCAGAACCAGAGAATCCAGATCCTGAGAAACCAGATCCTTGGTTTCCACCTCCAAAAATTCCAGACCCAGAAAATCCGCATCCAGAATATCCAGACCCTGAAAATCCTGATCCAGAGTATCCAGATCCATAATTACCACCTCCAAATAATCCAGAGCCACTAAATCCAGAGTAGCCGCCTCCAAAGAGTCCAGATCCTGAGAATCCAGATCCATTGTTGCTGTCTCCAAAGAGTCCAGAACCAGAAAATCCTGATCCAGAGAATCCAGATCCTTGGTTTCCAACTCCAAAAATTCCAGACCCAGAAAATCCGGATCCAGAATATCCAGATCCATAATTACCACCTCCAAATAATCCAGAGCCACTGAATCCAGATCCAGAGTATCCTGATCCAGAGTAACCAGATCCAGAGTATCCTGATCCTGAGTATCCTGATCCAGAGTACCCTGATCCAGAGTATCCAGATCCTGAGTATCCTGATCCAGAGTACCCTGATCCAGAGTATCCTGATCCAGAGTATCCTGATCCAGAGTAACCAGATCCAGAGTATCCTGATCCTGAGTTACCAGAACCTCCCATATTCCAATGATCATGGTAGTACAATATGGTTTTCAGGTATCCTTGCATATCATCAGCTATTCAAAAGGAAAAAAATCCAAATGTCATAAGTTACACAATTAAAATGAATTTTTATTACCTAAGAGAAATTAAACACTATGGAAAGACAAAGAGTAGACAAACATAGGAATGTTTGCAACATACTGCTGTTCAACAATGACCTCCATACTTAAATCATTCAGTCAATTCCTGTCAATATAACACAACCAAAGTAAAAAACACTTGTAATTTATACATGCAGTACATCCATTTCCCCTGATTGTCCATAAAACAAAATAACTTTTTAAACCAGTAAATGCTTTCTCTCTTCATCTTTCTCTTCCAACAATTTACTTCTCAAGACTTAACAGGTAGTAAGAATAAATAAAATGCAAAAAAAGTCTGATTTAAATTATGCTTCAAGAAAGCCTCAAACACTGTCTGCTATATTAGCTTTACTTTGAGTTGTCTTTATTCACCCTATCCCAATTAAATCCTTTACCCTACATGAGCAACACAAAATTAACCTGTAATGTATCTGCATGCTTACCTGATCGACTGTTTTAATTACCCTACACCTACACCCACACCCTCCCACCTGTTCCCAGCCTTTTCTTCAACATGAGCTACACCAAATAAACCTATAAAGTACTTGTTTACTTGGTTGTTTTTTTTAAGCAGCTTAATTGTCTGCTACGCCTACTGAAGCTGCTAGGTGGTAATTGATTGTCCTTTAGCAGCTTCAGTAAGTATGCCAGACATCTAAGCCACCTAAGCTGAAAGCAATTTAGCGAGAAACCCATTGCAGATGGACCAATCCTGTTAGATCGATCTAGGTTGGGAACCCAGTCTTAGTCAAAAGGAAAGAGCACCAGAGGAGGAAGAAGAGGACCATATACCTCCAGAACATGTTGTGCCCTGGATTGCTGCCATGCCAACCGCCATCACATCTGGTTCATGGGTGTTGTTGCCCTGTTGCCGTCCTCCATTTCCACAGGTGAAGGCCAGTTCAGCCCATGCGTATTCCCCTGGTAGGACGTCCATCGCGACCACTTGGTAGCCATGTTCACTGACTCTGGGCCCTTGGATCTGTGGAAAAGATTATAATATTGTATTCAAATCAAACTGTGTTGCCATAGTTATGAACACATTACGTGTTCAGATATTGTGGTTTATGTTCTACAATGCTCTTTGCAATTAAACCTATCCAGCTACCTAAGATATTCAGCCAAAAAATAGTGGTAAGAATAAAAATCTAACCCATTAATACAGTCCTCTGCAGGAGTATTATTTTACCCATCAATTTGTTTATTCCTTAAAGTTTCAATTTGACATACCTTGGTTCCATTATGCAGGAGAAGATCAAGACTAAAGGTTCCAGATCCTGTGAGGTAGATGAAGATAACTCCACACATCCCAGGGTGAAGAACTGTGAAGTTGCTATTGTGTACCATGGCCTTGTCACCAGGCTGAGCATTGCTGCAATACACGCCATAGCCGTAACCTGGAATGATGGTCAAAAATAAATAATTTTGGATCTTCATCAAAAGGCCTTCAGAACGTGACACATACATTATGAGGTCTGGAAAAAAACCTATTTCAAAAAATATGTGTATATGATGTGCAATAAATATTAACTTGTTATGCCAGGTGGTAACTTTGTACAAGTATATTCTTTGGTGTGACTCTGTGTAGGGTTTCATTTTGCTCTGTTTTTACTGCACAAAAGTATGGAGCTCTGAAAGGCCTTTCTCTGAACCAATTCTGAATTCTTCAAAATCGGTATTTTAAGTTGAAATGATTTTTTTCATTGTCAACAATGGGGGAAGGGAGACAATTACATATTGGTTAAGGATCGGATATCGTAATCCAGTGTTCCTTATTGTGTTATAAAAAAGCTTAGTCAAAAAAAAAACAGCTACATGTACGTAGTCATAAACGAAGATGAAACTGAAAGCGACTTTGAGAATTAGGTCTATGTATAATCCTCTCACATTTATGAGGAACTTTTGTATACAGCTATGGAAATAATTGTGGGATTATTTTTCAACAAAAGTAAAGTAAATAACGTTGAAATATTTTCAAAACAGTAAAATAATTAAAAGTGATGTTTATAAACAGGTTGGTGTTGTCATGATCACGTATTGAGTTTGTTCATCGATGTGTATCGGTGGTTAGTTGCTCGCGTTTTAAAAATACAATGAAATTAATTCCAGAAATATTTATAAAAAGATGTGGGGATTACTAAGTGTTAACCTGCGAATGCACAGCACTAACAAAGAAACAGAACAATATAAAGTACTGATATTATTCACAATGTAAGCCAAACACACACAAACTGGATTCTAAACCCCTGTACGAGAAAACCTACTCAGTTGCCAGTCCAGCTGGTCGTTTGTATCCTGCATCATCCCACACTGCCCCGGGTCTAGGGCCGGGTTGCATGGCCGTACTGGATGCATACATTCTGTAAGATGAAGTGATATAATATACTTATAAGCGTGCTAGTGTGGATTTTCACGTTACGAAAATGAAATACATACTTCCCACTCGGAAGTAGGGCAAAGCGCAGTAAGCTACTGCGCAGAGCAATTAAAGTTGTTAAAAATCCATATTTATTTACTATGAAATTATACCACGCGCAATTCTGAACTCTCCTGCTAGATTAAAAAAAAACAAATAAAGAAATTTGAATTTTAAATGCAAAACAGAAAAGGTCTTGGTGCAATCTTCTTAACTAAGGTTAATTAGTTTTTACACTTTTTTGAAATTATTATCTTGAGAGTTATATCTGTCTTTCTATTCTCCTCCGTATTTATCCATCAATGTACACATCTGTGGCTATTTAAATATAGTAGGCTACAAAAAAAAAAAAAAAAAACACTTACGCGGGCCCGAACCTCCCTGGGCCTGGATTACTGGAGCTTCATAGAGGGCGCCACACACTAACACCACAAAAAAATTGAAGGTTCTTATCTGAAAAAAATTGTATTAAAAAAAATTAAGTCAAATTCACAATGGCTCAATTCTTATTTATTAGTTGTGCGAGGGCTGTTACTGAAAAGGGAAAGAAAACAAAGCAGTGTCCCTTTTTAAACGCATTGTCTTTTTTCCTAGATTTCACGCCAATTCGGATTTTTTTTATTCTCAGATCCTTAAAACATAATTTGAAAATTTTCATACAGGAATTAACTCCATACATTTTATTCTGCTGTTCCTCTCTTTATTTATTTATTTATTTATTTATTTATTTATTTATTATATATTATTTTATTTCATTTTTCTTTTCGAGTTTTATTTATAAAAGACTGATGTTTAAACAAAAGTGCTTGTAAAGAGAAGGAGAAATAAGAAGGAAAAATCTGAAGACAAAATCATTATTCATCGTGTAGATGCCTTCATAAAAGCCCTTGTAAAGAGAAGGAGAAATAAAAAAGAAAAATCTGAAGACAAAGACATTTTTCATCGTGCAGATGCCTTCATAAAATTTCGGTAAGTAATTATTATTAAATGCAATACCGACGTAAGCCTCTGTAAGTAAATGGCAGCATATATAAACCAACAAATAAAGAAGGTTACACAAGCGTGAAAATTGAAGTAGGCACTACTTTCGGACGCACAGTCAAAGTGCAAACACTGTGTCGGTCCACTTGCACCATTTGGTCCGTAAAGTACAAATATTTCTTAGTCAAATAAGCTTTTCAACGTGTGTCTTAATTCATTGTAATGGCTTTTCAATGATTCTGAGTGCTGTCACCACAACACTCGCCGACACTGTTATGACGAAGTTTTAGAAAAGATTTGATTGCAGTTGTTTTTCTACTTTAGACCTTTGTTACGACACGGAGGGTAGATCTTGGCCTCTGGGAGCGTATGTAGAATTTTCCCTCTGAAAGCTCCTGTCTTTGTTACTGTAGTGTGGTTCGAATAAAAGTTTGCGAACAAAAGTTTGGCTGGCAGGATGCAGAAAGCCGTTTGGTCATATGGGATTATGTGACCACATGTATCTTCAACAAAATTAAACAACTTTACCTGTGTATTGATTGCATTGCCTATTACAATTTGTATATCAGAAAACAATATAAGAAAGTCATGTAAAATTATCAATGATCTTTTTTGTCGTAACAGCCTTCTACGCGAAACTGCAGTAAAAATATATATATTTGCAAAATTCAACAAAAAATAATAATAATAAAGGCTAAAATAAGTGCACGCATCCTTAAGACCCCCCAAGGCATTTTCTTAATTCAAGCAATTGACAAGAAACGAAATGCATTGTGAATTCAAACGACTTGCGTTTCATCACGGTCTCATTTCACTTACGTCTACAGAAATATGATCCAGGCAAATTGATATTGCGCAATGCGGTTATACAAGGGAAGAGGAATGCCGACTCGAAAATAGATGGATTCCATTTTGTTTTACTTGCAAACCTTCTAATAAGGTTTCGTAAAGATTGAATTCCAAAGCGGTAAAAGATATATCTCACGTTCTGTAATATATATGTTATAATCAGTAAAGATGGGGTTTTCTCGGAAAGGCGTTTTTTCTCATCCTGCAAATTAAACCAACTTTGGTTGCTCTAATTTTGTTTCACAAAATATCAAAGAAAATAACTCGATTTTAAAGACACAGACGCAATTTGGCCTGTTCTTTCGATTGTCTCTCTTTCTCGCAATTTGCATATATAATTTATATTAATATGATTCGTCACTTCGTGGTTCAGCCTTTCAGCGTGCTTGTCTTTACAAACACCTATTCATGCAGCCCTGTTAACATTGTGTTACGGCAAAATACACTTAAATCTTTAGAGAAATTTCACGCTTGGATTTGACAGATACTAAAATGGTGCTGACTTCCGGTCGGCTTCATTTTGCAAATATCAGTGTCGGATCCAGGAATGACAGAGTGGGCCACGCACCTCTCCCTTCACTTCTTATTCTCCCTTCCCTCTGTTCCCCCCTCTCTCCCCTCCCCCCCTACTCAGTATAAAAAAGCATAACTAGCGATAAGAGACAAACCATACAATTTCCATCCCTGCGCACTACATGTTACAGTAAATTTGTTCTTCTCGTCTATTGCCTTAAATTTGCCTCCGCTCGCTTGGACAAAAAACCTGGATTGTTCTTCAATTTAAGATAACTTCGGCACTGCCCGTTGTCTTCCTAAATGCAGGGCATAAATGCATCGTTTATTCACAACGGCTAAATTGTCAAACGGACAATTTGTCAATGTTACGGGTGACTTGAATTAGTATTTTAGAAGATTGAAAAAAACTTACTTTGTTGTTTTTTTTCCGTTTTTCTTTTTTTTTCTCTCTCTCTCTTCTCCATTTTTCAATAATATTGTGAAGTAAACTATTCAACGATTAACTTTCTGGCGCAATGTTTTGGTGATATCAATAAAGGAAAATATTTAAAATTCGATCTTATTAATCAATGTTTTATTTCCATAAAGTTGTGGTTACTTTATCAGTATACGTGATTTTCATTTGGGTTTGATGAAAAGAAGGAAGAGTTTCTTTCTACTTCAACGATAATTGGAGACTAGGAGTCCGCGAGCATGACTTAGTTAAGCGAGTGTTGCTCTTAATGCATTGGCATGAAGAGTTTAAGGTATCCTATCCAGAATTTATCCCGCTGAATTGAAGTTGCCTCGAAAAAAGTATTAACTAGTAATCCTGCTTATTAATCATTGTTCGATCCGTCCCTGCATTTGGGTTCGATGTACATGTGCTACTCCGTAAACAATTTATGTCTTTCCATACATTTCAGACATATGTACGACATAATGTACGTTTATATTAGGAACTTTTCGTTTTAAAGATCTGAAATGGAAAAGATAAGTAGCTTTGCAGGATGTATAGACAATATAATTTTTGTACATTTTCACATACTGCATAAGCAGATAAAATATTTATTCAAGTTAAGATTTGCAATTGGGTGAGTATTTTAAAGGTATGGTGATTTGAAACTGACGTTGTGATATTGAGCATCGAGAGAAATACATATTTATGAATAGCTTTTGAAAAGTTGACAGGGCCCTTTATCCCTTCCCGCTGATCTTATGGCTGACTGCTGATCTTATGGGGTGGGGGATAATTTTATTTATTTATTTATTTATTTATTGTGGCGGGGTTTACAAGGGTGTTACCAGATTATCATCCCTAACAAATATTTTTCGTTTGCGAACACATAATACCGAGCGCATCCTAGCTAAAATAGACAATCACGCCTACCCCACCTCGTCCCCACACACTGCATCCCAAAAATCATGGAACTGTCGATATATGACTTGTTAATTACAAACAACGGCGAACTCCTTGTTATTTCGGCTGGTTATGCACACTTGTTATGCTTTGTCGGCGGTGGATAATCGTTGTGTCAATTTGTGTGTCAATATGTAAACTATGCCGCGATGAAGTGGATCACTTCCAGGGTTATACTTTGTCTCCAGTTATCATCACAATCTATTGAAAAAGGTTTGTTGAAAAATTACACCAATATAGGGAAAAATCATAAACGTTTATAAGCAACAGAATGTAATTGAAAAAGAATATTTTAACATTAAGATTACATTTTAACATTACTTTGAGTCTGTTCCCAGATGTCTTTGTAATTATTAATTAATTAATTGATTATTTAATTTATAAACAGTAATTGAAAAAGCACTGTTGCATCGTGGACGAAGAAACATAACGGAAAATATATATGAATTTATCCGATACAAATAGCGACAGGTATTGATGAACTAAGTGAACTTACTGGCGCTCTCAGAAAATTTATGAATATTTTAAAGAGGATATTATTGGAATTGTGATTAGCTGAACGCTTGTATCGACTGCACTGTCTGACCTGTTTTATGTATATACCTCAGTGTATCAAAGAAATCCCAGTTAACACTTGTGTCTGCGTTTTTGCTGACTCGAAGAATGATGTGAAAATAGGTATATTTTCGAAAATTGTGCATGTAATTTTCTAATTTTATGGATGATGACTAGAAGTTATTAGAAAGAAAATTTCGTAATAAGTGCACCGCAGACATGGGGATGTCCGCTTTGAACTTTTACACGTTTATCGCGAATTTTGTAATCTACGATTTTTCTTTTTCTATGCTTTTTGGTGTCATACTACATGTGTTTTAGTTTTTGCATATTTTAAATAATTAAGGTTAGTATTTTTTGAAACCCTAATAGCGTCAACCCTTGCAAACTGCTACTATCAACTGCAGTTCAAATATGCATTCCATTTCTGTATTTTGATGCGTTCAAAGATACCACAATGATAATTAATTAAGGCAGTTCCTTCCCTAACCCCCCCCCCCGAAAAAAAAAACATAAAAATGATAAATAAAAAGAAAAAGGTAAAAATATAAAATAAACACATAATCCATGCATCACTAGTTTTTAATATAATCACATTAGATATTTCAAAAAGGGATAACATTAGCAAAAAATAAAAATAAATGGTAATTTACGTGCACCGCAGTCTGCGAAGTTAGCCATCGGTATGAGAAAAGTAACAATTACGGTTAGTGTCGGAATAGCCAAAAGATAGGATTTTCAAAAAAAAAAAAAAAAAAAAAAAAATGGAGTTACCCATTCAGATCTGACAAGTGAAAATTTTGCCCTAAATTCAAAGACTTTTCTCATTCACTTTGTATATCATTTTTATTCGTACGAATAACTTTCCGCGGTCTACTAGCTGTACAAAGTAGGCAAAATGCAGTATTCCCCACATAAATATGAAAACACTTCATTACTATAAAATAAATCTACGCATATATATATATATAATAAACAAAAAAGTTAAATAAAAAGTGAGCGCATTCTATAATGAAGGGTTTCAATAGTAGATTTCTGTAGCCTATTAGGCCAAGAAGTGGGCATTTGGATGACAAGTTGAAGGCGCAGACAACTATGGGCCCTTATCCATAAGTGTCCCACAGAGGATCAAATTTCACGCGAATGGCTCATTGGAGCTTAAGGAGTCACTTCTTGCAAAGGGGGGGGGGGGGGGGGGGGCTTTTTAATTAAATTATCTTCTTACCACTAAAATCATTTTTATGAGAAACACATGCGCGTGAGGACATTTTTTTTCATTTGGCATTTCCAGTTTCTGCGTTTCCAACATGTCTGCCGATTACATAATACTCAGAAGGACGATCGTAATTTCCCTATGTATGTTTCAATAATGCATTACTACTGTAATTTTACAATACAATATGCTATGATACTCATATACCATATAATTAGATAAGAAGTTTGACATGACAGACTAATTTGACTTAGTTATGAGGGCCAAAACGCCCGAAGATGCTACTATAATGCTTACCATTTCACCTTCGGTAGGATGGTTCGTTTTGATTTCTTCGGTTCTCGGGTACACTCGTCCCTTTCAGATGTCTGTCGGAATAGGTAATTTTCCAATTAAGATGTCCGTTTCGTCATGAAGAATCCCAAGCGGAATTCTCTCGGATCGGACAGAGCTGCGTTTGGTAGTAGAAAACTGCCCAGTGACAACTAAAAGGTTAGCCACCGGACCTCGATCTTCACTCAAACTAATGTGACACTGTGCGTTTCAGCGTTAAGCGTACCGTCACATTATAATGGATCGATGAATTCAAGAATGGTGAACGGCAAACAGTGTTGTGAACAGTGAATTGGTTTTGTAGCACGATTCTAAGTAAACATGAAAGAAGCAATAGAGGTTACATAATCGGATCCTGCCTCACTGGAAGGGCATACATGCACGTTGACATTGAAAAGGTGTTTGGGCATTTAGTCGATGCGTGATAGGATCTGATAGGAGGGAATCGATTTTCTTGGCTGCTCTAGGAGTAATTCCGAGAGGGACAATTTGAAAAATATAACACTTTTATTATTACGTTAATAAATTTCAAAGACGCGTAAGGGAAAAAAACGTAGAAAAAGGCAGAGAAACTTTCTTGAATTTTTGTGTAAATCCTTATAGTGCATTTTCTTTCTCATAAAAATAGTCTACACATTTTTTGCTTAAGTTTGAATTTCTCCTGAGCAATGACATCTGATTCAAAAGATAAAAAGAAAAAAACAACAATTTACCCCTTCCCAAATTGTATTTAGTTTGCTTGCACTTATCTATCTGCTTTTAATGTATCACGTGATAAATAGGCCTACACGAGGTGCTCCGTCCCCGTTTTAAATTTCACATTTCTCACCACAAAGAAAAAACTCATTAAGCGACAGGTGAGTCGAACGGTCATCGCAAGGCCTGCTGTTAAGCCCTATACATCCATCTTTAAACAAATCAGGTGGCATTCTTCAAGGTAAACAGACTGGAGTATTGTATTGCCGATGTTTACCGGTTATGGTCATGACAACGAGAACAACAACGGACTAAGTAAGCATCTCGCGCACAATAACTAAACAAACGCTCGCTTGCATAATCGAATGTGACAAAAGTTGTTTTGGGTTGTGTATTCACGACGTCGCTCGCTACTCCTACTGGTCACTCGAGGGCTTTGGAAAGGGCACGTAATGATGTACATTATATCACAGTTGGTCGTATTAAAAGAAACGCGCACAAAAAATAGGCCTTGGCCTTGGTATCGGGCAGTCACTGTGCCAGTGTCCAGACATTCGAAAACGATCGATACACTTAATTATCAAGATTGACCAGTAGAACCTGAACGGACCATAACAATGAATATGCAATCAGAGCATGCATAATTACGTGCAGCAACCTAACCCAATTGAAATTATACACGTAAATCACAGGTGCTTTGTTTACTACACATTCTCTTAATGCACTAAGCTTGAACTCGTTAACGGCTTGAGTGGATATTGTCAATAAAACGTAGCAAGACTTGTTTATAACTAGAAGCTTCTTTGTATCAGAGATGACAAATGGCCAAACTGCAGACATTTGACACAAATTTCGGACACCAGGACTACAAGTACCTACACTGACAAAATTTTGATCAAATAGGCCTATTCAAAGGAAGAATGAAAAAAATTAAATTCAACCAAGTCATCTGACGGCTCAATCCAATTTCCTGTAAAATTAAAGGTGCAAAAATGGCAAGGGTTAATCGAACCAATGATCTTATCATTATCTATGCAAGACCAATTTCAGTAAAATATTTTTTGAATAACAAAGCTGATGGATTAGCGTGTGTCGGTTCAAGTAAATGTTGTAGGTGCGACTTTTCCGTCTCATCCAATGTGTTTTCTCACCTAACACATTCTGATCTCAACGCATTTTTTGGTAGCGTTCCATTTCACGCTCCACGTTATTTTCAATTGTTTTCGTACAAAAATATCGTTAAAACATTTTAACGCAAAAATCGTACATCATAAATCTACAACTTGTATCACCAATTTTGAATGATCCCTCAAATAAAGATCCGCACTTTATTATTCTTGTTTATATTTGAAGTTATACATTTTAGCGAGAACATTTTTCTATCGTCTGCCACCGTCCTAAGAGAGAGATCTTTCACAAGATGATCACAGATATTCACAGCTGTGCATAACTTTGAAAAGTCTGGAGATTTGTGCAAAACAATGAGTCAGACGTTATCACATAGATGTACTCTGGCAGAGAATATCATCAATCGTCGAATTTATTAACCACTTCATGTAACTCAGTCTTTGGTATCATAAAATTTATTTGGTTTACATAAAGAATGCTATTTTTTTATTCTTAGTTAAAACTAAGAACAGACCTACTACTTCAAAGTTGTTCAACATAAATTTAAAATTTCAAGTTAGAAAGTTGCTTAGTGACGAGTACTTACAATCAGTAAGTGACTTTCAGAAAAATGACTCTTAATTTATATCAATCTTTTAATTATATTTTTAATGAAAATCTTAACCATACCACAGTATAGACAACACTGAACTACAAAATGTAGAAATAAGAATAAATCAGCTAACATCTGCAGGTTTATTTAAATGGCCTGTTAGAACATATTTTTTGGTCTATGAAATTTGCGTTTACAGCAGACTACATGTCTTGGCCACTTTGGAACAAAAACTTTTTTCAAGTTACACAAAACTTTGACCAAGGTGATGTTCACAAACTCAGATATAAAAAAATCCATTTTATAGACGACTTGTTATGAAGAGGCTACTGTATTTGAAATAACAAATTGCATTTTGACCTAATCATACATGAACACTCTTCATATCCTGCTTGTTTGGCAAGAATACAAAACCTAAACTTTTTGGTGATAACAAAAATGTGATGGAATGCAGTTCACGTCTTTTACAAAAATATCAAAAGACCTGTCCGCACAGCTATTATAATATAAATAAATTATTAATCCAAGATTTGGCTTGGGAGGTATAAAGGTATGAAAAAAATACTGCACTTCTCTCAGCAAATTTTCACATGGTAAGAAGGCTTGGGTGGTATAAAGGTATGAAAAAAATACTGCACTTCTCTCAGCAAATTTTCACATGGTAAGAAATCCGAAAAGGGTTGCCATAAGCGTCTCTCTTGATCTGTAAATATCTTTCACAAAAAAATTATTTTCACTGAGAAAAAAAAAAATAATAAACCAGCCAATCTCTCCATAATCCAAGGTTTAACCATTCTGTGCACCTTCTGTAAACTGCTCAAAGTTTAAAATCCATACATTAAAAACTTTTCCCACTAATCTGAGAATACCTCTGAAAGGCAAATTTCAATTGTGAGTCTTTAATGAAACACATCTCACCAATAAAACATGCTTTCAGATTAACTGAAGTTTTGAACCTGTTATAACACTACTGGTAGTAGGGCTGATGAGGAGGACCCCCTGCCCTAGGAGGGGGAGGACCCCTCGAGTGTGGGGGAGGATTCCAAGGAGGTGTCATGGGCCCCTCCTCATACTGGGGATGTGGGCTAGGGTACCTCTGAGGGGGTGGTCCGTGTCGTGGGGGTGGTCCCCCTGCCATCCCAGGGTGGCTGGTTGTGTACATGGGGGGTGGTTGTGACATCTGTGGGGGCTGGCTCATGGGGGTGCGCTGAGGGGGTCCAGTAGAGGGGGGAGGCCCGTGGTGAGGGGGAGCATAATAGGGCTGGGGTTGGTGCCCAGGGGGTGGATAGTTAGAAGGGGTGTGGCCCTGAGGGGGAAAGTTTGTTGTGCTGTGTTCGTAATGCCCCCTACTCTTATCCCGACCCTCGTCTTGGATCTGCACAGTGATTAGATTAGTCCTCGAGGTGTTGTGATGTGGCTTGTACTCCAATGGGGAGCTCACAGGGGGAGGTCTGCCATGGGGCAAGTGCTGTTGTGGGGGGAGATGGGCCTGGGGAGGGGGGCCCTGTGGGTGTGGCTGCGGCTGGTGTGCCCCACTGTGGTGACGGTGCATGTCCTCGGGGGGAGGCTGCTGGTGATAGACCACATGTTGCGGTGCTTGAGGGACGTGCATCGTCTCTGCTTGGGGCCTGTACTCCTGTACGGGGGGAGCCTGGTGGGGGGATGGCTGCTGTCCCTCTCGAAGATGGCGATGATTGACATGTGCCTGGAGGTCTCTCTGGGATAAATAGGTGCGTCGGCAACCTGATACTCCATGTTTAGTTCCGCCAAATGTACAGACAAATACTGATCCTAAAGCTGACTGTTCTATACGCTGGACAGGGTCATCACATCTGTGAAGGGAAAGTCAAAATGGATATTAAAAAGCAAATTTTGACACTACCACTTGCCCTTCTAAAAATACCCATAAAACTGAAGTCATGCTAGTCAAATTTTGTTAATCTGTTCAGTTACAGGCCATTGTTTCTGCTTTCGGCCAGTAGATTCTTACAACCTGAGATCCTGAACAACCAGTTGGCCAAAATGACTGACAGAAGCCACTGTAGTGTAATTCATTTGTAAGGAGTTCATGTGTTTATTTATCTATTAATTTTAAAATTACTAGGCATGCTTAGGTTACTGTAATCAACAGTATGTAAACTTCCCAAATTAAAAAAAAGAAAAAAAAAACACAAACACACAGGTCTAAAAAAATTTCAGTAAATATGAAGCATTTTGAAATAAATGGATGTTCCATCAACTTTGCACAGCTTTTTCTAGAGATTTCTGATGATAAAGTAATGACTCATCTTTTCAATTGGAAAAATTGTGAATTTTGCAGATAACATATTTTTCAAATTTCAAATAAAGCCAAAAATTCTTAGAGATGTGAAAGTTAGCAACAAAACTGAAGAGCAAGATGTCCTATAGTTCCTTTCTTTACAGTAAAAGCATAACAAATGCTACAAAAAAACTTCCAAAAGAAAGTAATATCTGAAAATTAATAATTTTTCCCCACTGAAAAGAGCGATTAATTTCTGTATATGCATACCGTGCACAGTTCTTGTCTGTCTTTTTTGCACAATCAAAGCAAAACACATGCTTACAAGGAATCTGAAAAATTTTTAAGAAAGGCATTTTATCAGACAAAGTCCAATCTTGGCATGCCAAAGTTATTTCAGAGAATTCTGTTGCTGTTCATGACAAGTTCATGACATAGACTGTCTATTTCACTTAATGTATGACATGAAATTATATCTTTGTCTACTCTAGGGGTTACAAAAGAGGTACTTACTTAGGTAATGTAACATTCTAATATATATGTAAAGAATTTATCAACCTGGTTATGTACAAAAATAAATAATTAAATAAAGAAAGAAAGAAAATATTGGAGTGCTAATAACCCTGAATTTAGTTGTTGTTTGAGGAAACTGTAATCGTAACTCTGTAAACTTAAGCTGTACTAACCATTCTTCCATATATGAGAATAGGAAGATCACATTTATCACAACAGTGAATCAATGGGTCAACCACTTTCTCCCCAATTAAGTTGACCTGAAAAGAATTAAATAAGTGCAATTAATTATACAATACATAAAAAAACTCATTATATCTCTTATGAGGAAGTGTGGTAACTGTGGCTTGTAGTGGCAAACAAGATGGTATAGAGAGAAAATTATGATGTGTACCCTTCAGTACTCGCGCTGGTGGTACAATAATTATAAGGAAGTATAACACCAAGAAACTCATGCCATTTGATGATGACTTGTTAGTACCTCTAGCCCCCGCCGCCCAGGTTGGGTTTGTGAATATCGTCATACACATTATTCCAGTGTTGTATCATAATTTATTTCCATTTTTATGCAAGCTTAAGTGCAAAATTCATACTTCTGCTGGGAGGAAATAAGAAGCAATATGAGAATTTTAGACATTTTTGAAGGCAGTGCAGTTCAGTCCTATGTACACTACAGCATTAACTAAAATGTGGAGAAAAAATTTATGGCAAGTTCACAACTTCCTTGTAATTTGGCTTATTAAAATCATATTGAAATTTAAAAAAAAAACATGAAATTATAACTTTCAATTTTTGTTTCTTGGTTTGTTTAAAACTTAGTAAAAAAATAATTAATGTAAAGCTGATAGCTTCTTTTTGACTTATTAAAATCTTATTTTAGCTACTGACACCTTACACAAAAGGAGAAAAGGCTGGGCGGATAAATGCTGAATATCACTTTCAATACTATTAAATAACTGATAGCATCTTTTTTTTATCTTCACAAACTAAAAACTAGACAGGAAAGTCAAATCACTCAGCAAATTTGAAGTTAAACGAAAATACAGTTAGGTACTCATGGGGCCAACATAGCCAAAATACAAGAAAAACATTTAGAAAATAATTTTTGATCATCTTCTACACTCTGCATGATGATTCAGATGGGGGGCTTCATTAAAACATGTTTATACACAATATACCACAAAACCAACCTTGTGATTCCACCTTGTTTTCTGCTCAAATGGTGAGTCAGGCTCTCCTTCACTTCCATGGCCAGTAGGGGACATCAACTGGTCACTCTGTCCACCTACTGGCTCAAGGGCAGGAGGAGGGTGCTGGACAGGCTTGGGCTTGGGATCGGATCTCCTGGCTTTGGTTTTTCCTTTCAGTTTGAGTGAAATATTCTTACGGACTGATTCAACGCTGGAGCCTGCTGAAGCTCCCTCTTCTGACTCTAACTCCAGCTCTGTAAGGATGTCATATATCATTGCTGATTCAATGAAGTACACTCTAGAACCTCCCCCCACACACACACACACACCTGAGCCTCATATCAAGTTGATGGAATGGGACACTTCATCATTCCATGGTTAGAACAGCAAACTACTTTACCAGTAATACATTTATCAACTGCAGTATTCCTGGAAGCCTATTTTGCCAGTAAGGGATAATTAATACAATAAAAAACTAATCAAAAAAATTTAAAACAAGTTTGGTATCACTTGAGTGAATTTTAATGTTCACAATGCATGTTCAATACAATCTATTAAGTATTATTGCTAAATATCCATGTTCTTGGTTTTGTTTACCAAAAGCCAAATGAGAACCATCCGATACAAACTATAAATTTGATCACTGCTGTTTCTTCATATAAACCAATGACATGCACATTTAGCTATGGATGATCTTTCCATCCATAAGCCCCCTCCATCCCCCCCCCACCTTCGATTATGCTCCTCTCAACCCCATTACCCCAGTACAAAGCCTTAATCTGCGTAACTGAACCCCACCCCACCCCCAGCCACACTGTTGACTGAAATTGAAACTTGAAAAAGCCGGTGCTTGGTTATGTTAGGCTATACACTCTGGAATCTCTAGTGCTGCCGACTCTTTCGGTGTAATTGCAGATTCTGTTTGAAATACAAATTGTTCTTAAAGATGTTGAAAAACAGAGTCTCCGTGTAACTGAGTGAAAATGAAAATATAGACGGGTCTTTGTAAAGAAACATACCTTCTCCCTCCATATTGTATTTAGTAACCTTATTCTTATGAGAGTGACGATTTGATTGGTCATTTCCCTACGTTGATTTCTGTTCCTGTTTTTGCTTGGATAAAGCACACATGACCTTCACCTCTGAATTTTTTTTGTCTTTTCGGAGGTGAGATCTTGAGACAATTTTTGTTGGTAAACATAGCGTCCACGGGACGGAAGAGGAAGCGCTCGGCGCTTGAAGTAGGGATTGACATAGAGGAGTCGATCATGCCATCCCACAACAAAAAATCACAACGCCGATCTGCCAGCGGAGACGGTGCTGCCGCGCCAGCTTTTGACAGCGGAGGCAGCATGGTCAAAAACCAAGACAGAAAGAATGAGAAGGGAATCGATAGCCCGGAAAACGGTAAATAAACCAATTGCTTGCAGCCGATTCATTACTTGTTTTTAAAAACTTGTTATTGATGGTGTATTGCGGGTCTGTGTATGGTGGGGAATGTGATTTCCATTTTGTCATAAGATTAAAAATCTAGGTATTATCAGAAAAAATCAGATTGTGCTAGATTTAAACACAAGTTATATTTTTTGAAGTATTTTGCTTCAGATTTTTCTATTTTAATTTTGAAACGAAAATTGAAAAAGGAACATTTCCCAGTCTTCTTATTTCTTCGCTTTCATTTTCTGATGAATTGGAAATCACTC